AACTAGGTCACGAAACCCCGCCTCCAGCCGCCTATCTGGTTGAACCAAAGGATACCTGCTTTTTTCAGTTTAGCGTTTGACCTTCTACATTCTCCATAATCTTCCACTTTTAGAAAGCATCGATCGAGGTCAAAGTCGAAAACTTCATCGAAGGAGAGAACTCCTTCTCGAACGCCAACACCACTAAGATCTGATGATGAAGAAGAGAAAAAGGCAGTCGTAAAGCCAGAGCCGGAGCCAATTAGTACCCCTGAAAAAAGTCCTCCCTTCCCTGAGAAGTCATCATTTCGCGCGGTAAGTTTTTTCACTACTCTTTTCTTTTTAACTGAATCAGTTTCTACAGATTTCTGACGATGATGATGATCTTCCGGTTGGCGCTGATTTTCGAACTGTTATGAAAGAAGCTAAGAAAAAGATCAATATTTCCAGTAAGATCGGCTCCTCTTTAGATTTGGGTGTGTGTTTGGGTTTACCAGATCCTCGGTTTATAATAAGGATTCAGTTTCTAATTTTACAGCATCTCTTCCAGTCGCACCTCCGTTGGGGAAACCTCGCTCGTCTCAAGCATTTCCGTTGTCAAAAGAAATTAAAAAGGACTTGGATGATGATGGTCCTATGGAGAAAAGAGAGTCGGACGTCCTCAATAAAGTATGCTTTTTCACTGTAATGTTGTCGTTCGTTCTGCACAGTTTTGATTGAAATTCTAGGTTATTGCTGAGAAAGGACGCGGAGATTTTGTACCGCGCAATCTAAAGGTAAAAACTTCGGCTACCGAAACCTCATCTGCTCAGAGTCACATAAAAAGTGAAGCGGAGAATGGCAACGAAACTGAACTGAAGCCTTCCATAAAGATCGAGGCTGAGAGGTTGTTTTATTACATTTTTGTATGAAATGGTCTTTGAAATGCACCTTTTTTAGTTTGATGGACATCTCAGCTGACGAAGCAGAATTTGGACCAGCATCTCTTCCGCCCCCGGTTCCAGCTGTCAGCTCTTCTGGAGCCGTGAATTCTGCACCGGCTCCTGAGCCTATAAGTGATGGAGAACTAGAGAAAGAAATATTCGAAGAAATCAATGCCGCTGCTCAACCGAAGGTTGGTTCGCAAGAGTCATGGCCATTTTGTTTGTGTCATCATTCATCATTCTTTTTAGACTGCCGTAAAATCCAGATTAGCAAGGGTTGTCGAAAGCTCATCTGCTGTGATATCGAAAGGTAGGGTTATTGACTTCATATGTCCTAACAAGAATCTACACAATCTATTAAGGAAAAGAAGCTCAGCCGACTGTTTCAGCGTTCAAAGAGCCGCACTCGAGGAAGCGGCGCCGATCACCGCGTAAACGAAGTTCAAGTCCAAATACTGATGAAGAGATAAGGATCAAAGCAAGAAATGCGTAAGTTTACATCTTCCTCAGAAGACGAATATTTGACGTAAATGATGTAAGATTTTTCATTTTAGACGTTCTAACAAGGCTGCGAGAAAGGTATCACCATATCGTCCACGTGGACGTCGACGAGACGATCGGTGAGTGTTGTTCTTTTTTTGCTGCATTAGCGTTGAAAAAGCATTTTTTGCTTGCTTGGGATGGTTTACCTTATCTACAACATCAGCCTTGGTTGCTTTCATTTTGTAAGAAAATTTACGCCCCTTTCTAGTGGTCGCTCAAGGTCGAGATCTCGACGACGCTATTCCAAATCTGTTAGCAGAAGCCCAGTCCGAGATAAACGCCGACGAAGATCCAGGTCGACGTCCAAAAGTCGAAGCAGAAGCCGAAGTCGTAGCAGTAGCCGATATAGGTGTGTCTTTATTTTGTGATAGCAAAATACCATTTCTTGCTGATACCATATCTCCCGTTCAGATCCCGTCGGTCACGATCCAGATCGTCATCACGAAGTAGGAGTCGTAGCCGAAGCCGCAGCCGCACCCCAAGTCGTAGTAGAAGCAGGAGCAGAAGTAGAAGTCGCAGCAGGTCACCAAGACGTCCAATGGGAGGAGAAGGTAGAAGGAAAGGTGGAGGCCGTAGGAGAGGACGAATTGATAAAGCAAAGTTGTTGGCGATAGCTAGGAAGAAGGCACAGAAGATGCAGTTGGTGGGTTATGAAGATTTACAGGATAGTACGGTCCACATTCGCCAAGAATGCACAACCTTTTATTGAAACTAGTAAAAAAGATTCTAAATCACAGCAGCCATTCTCGATTTTTTTAGCTTGGTATCAGTCTTGGGAACTTGGATCAGCTCCAGAATCAGCCCAAGAGTGTGGATGACTTTGTTTGTAAGTACATCAACCTTTTACTCGTTCATCATCGAACCTATTGTTATTCTGATAAATTAGTTTTTATATGGAGTTCGTTCTGTTTTATTTTGCGATCCGCTCTGGTTTTGCAGCTTACTGCCAGCAAATACAACGTCGTCAGGAAAAAGAGACTAGAAGAGAGAAAGGCGAGCCCGTTTCCAGTGATGATGATGACTCCGACAATGCTGGATCTAGAACTGCCAGTCCTACATCTTTCAAGCATCCATTTGGTGTCAAGACTGCTGGACCAGTTGAAGGCATAAAAATCAACATAGTGGTAAGTTACTGAAATCTAGCGTGAAATCAAATTACTTGAATCGCTTGCAGAATGCCACAAATATTCCAACGAAAACTCCGCAAGAGCGCATACTTGACAGTTCCCAGTTACGACTAGTTTACCCAGTATCTTCGGGAGTCACTCACAAGGAGAACACAGTCAGTCATTGTTCAGTAATTTCTGTACATTCTTTTGTTTTGTTTGCTAGGCCTCGGAACAGTTTCAGGAGCGTGAGTGGACGCCTGTAGTAAAAGATGAGTTGAAAACGTGCTCAGCTGAACAAAAGAAGTACGTGGGAATCACTAGTCTCGAGGCGCAAAAATATCATAGCGCGGTAAGTTCTTGTTAATCTGTTGATTTCCTAAGCTTGCACTGCAATAATTTTTTCATCTTACCCAGATATTTTGGCGGTGAAAGCTATGATTCTGAAGTTTCTTTTTTAGAGCACTTCCGCTGACCATCTTTTACCACCTCCGCCTGCTCCACCCGTATTAACAGGCCTCGGTGGACTGTTACCACCACCTCCACCTCCTCCAAAGCTTACCGTGAGTTCCAGTTCTATTTTTCTATATTTTGAGTACCGTCAACCTTTATTGCAGGCTTTTGATACTTTGTTGCCTCCTCCACCTCCTTTGCCGGAATTGCTTGTTGTGCCACCAGAGGAGGAACTGATTATACATGAACCGGATAAAATTGAAATAGTAAGTGTATACTTGTCTCTCAATCTCGGTTCTCTCAGCGTACATGTAGAAAAGTCGTATTTAGGCTAAAAAGAGAGATGTTGCCAAAGTTTTGGCCCAACGAGCCAGCGCGCAGTTAACCTTAGCATCGAATCCAAACGATTTTGAGGCCATTAGGATGCTCAAAGAAGCTGATGACCAGGTTAGTAGTGTTAACGTTACTGAAATGTAGAAGAACACATACAAACTTACGTTGATTGCAGATGGCAGCTTGGGCAGCTGCCAAAAATCTGCCGGGAAAGTTTACCGGCAGTACCGGTCTCAATGTACTTTCGTCTGATGAGTTACAACCCCATGACCCACGTTATAATGCGTGGGTGCGGAAGGTATGAGGTTTAGGTTTGCTTGTGATAATTAATTATGGTTGTTCTATTTATCTATCTGTATTTCTTTGATGCTGCACACAGATCTCATACCATTCCGCATTTAGAAAAGTTTGTTTGTTTGTATTTCCCTTCTGTTTGAAACCACAATAGCATTACTTTGAATTTCTGAAAAGCGACTCCTCGTCTGCCTCAATAATAGAAAGAAGTACTCAGTCAGAAGTAGTTTTATTCACGCTTATCTTATCAGCAACACGCATATCCCATAGATTCCAACGAAGAATTATCATCATGCGTGTTCGAGTCGGCCTATGATCCTTGACTAGTGTACGAGAATAAATTTCTTGCACTAGTTTTGTGATCATTGGCTACAATCAAAATAGCTAACTTTCTGCAGGATGAGGATGTTGATGTGCAGGCTTAACGACGTGTTAGCCAGCGCCAATGTACAAAGAATATGCGGATACGACCGTTTTGACCATCCTTGTCTTCCAATGCTTCCTTGATATGCACCTCATCTATTCGCTATCTACGCAAACATTTGTACACAACTACTACTACGGGAGGAGGCTAATATGCAATCGGGTGATACGTGAGTTATCATTTTCAATCAACGTTTGTAGTCCAATTTCTCCATTTTTTT